ACCTGCAGCACATTCTCCGCCGTCTTGCCGCTGCCAAATGACTAAAGGAGAGGATTAAAGAGGAGATGATTAGAGAAAGGATAAAATTTAGATAAAAAGAAGTGCAGTTTTCCTACCTCAGGAAAGAGGCTGATCATCTCGTCGACGTAGTTGCAGATCCGCTCCGAGCAGACGGAGAATCTATTAATAATATAAAAGTTTTGGGGGAGAGAGATTTGTGAGAGTGAGTGAAAATGAAAAAAATGAGGTTACATAAGACAGCACACAATCCCGCCGCCGCTCTTTCCAACAACTTACTCATCGTGCTTGCCCTCGCGAGCATTGGAGAGCAGCTCCTTGATGGAATTGGTGATGAATTCTATCTTCTTGATGACGTCCTCCTTCGAGGGAAAAGACGACGCGGTGGTAGTGTTTATGGCTGGCGTGGGCGGCAGCTGTGACAGGCCAACGCCGGTGGTGCTGGTGGCTATGACAACATTATTATTACTAACGTTATTACCACCACCACCGCCGCCGCTGTTGAACTGAAGCTGCTGCTGATGATGGGCTGCATTGAGCTGCTCGACGGCGGCGGCCACCGAGCCCAAATAGGGCAACGATTGTTGCTGCTGCTGCTGATTTGGATGCTGCTGCAACGTTGGAATCTGACTAGGCGAGGAGAGAGATGAGGAGGAGGAGTGCGCTGAGAACTGCTGCTGCTGCTGATTTGGATTGCTGCTACTGCTTAGGCTTTGATTCGAAAGAGGAAAAGGAGGCGGCGGTGGTGCAGGAAATGACTGCTGCTGCTGCTGCTGCTGCGCCTGAATTTGGTAGTTAAGTAGTGAGGAGTTGGAGGACTGGTTCGAGGAGAGCATCGGCGGGGTGGTTTTGTGGTTTAGTGAGGAGGAGGAGATGCACTCGTTTGAGTAGCGATTGACCATCGGCTGCTGCTGATTTTGAATACCTCCTGAAATGGAGTTTGCTGAGGAGGCGTTGTTGACTACACCACCACCCTGAAAGGAGTTCGTCGTGGCAGTGGACTGCGGCCTCACCCGACTGCCTGAGGCGCGGAGAAAGGAGTTTCGCTGCAGTTGCAGCTGCTGCTGCAGCGCCGGATCATCAAAGTGCATCGAGTTGCTCTTCAGCTGCTGCTGCTGCTGCTGCTGCTGCTGCTGCTGGTGCTCAAGAAAGTTCAGCGACGTTGAAGAGGATGAATTTTGATGGAGATAACTTTGATTATTCTGATTGACCATCATCATCGTCTGCTGCTGCTGCTGCTGAAGCAGTTGCAGCCCCTTGAGCTGGGCATTCTCCTCGACCAGTCGCTCTACGGTGGCCTGCAGGCGAGCCATCTCCCCGCGCATCTCCCGATTCTCCGCCACAAACTGCTCCATCAGCGTCGCCGAGCGGAGCATCTGCTCCTTGAGCAGGGCGACCTCGTTCTGCGACACGTAGCAGGCGTTCTGCTGACTGTCTGCTGACTTGCTCGAGTTGGTAATCAGCGTCGTCGAGCTGGCTCTCAAGCTGTTGTGGTCTTGATTGGGCTGATTTTGCAGCTGCTGCTGTTGTGGAACTCCTCCTCCTCCTCTGGGGACGACAATCTCATTGCACTCGTCGTAGTCGCCCTCCGAGGGCACTGAGTCGTACAGCGGCTCAGAGTCGTTGTCCTCGTCAAAGGTTTCATCCGTAGAAGTAACGGTCTTCCCCGTGACATTCGTGTACCCCTCCATCATCCCCTTCAGACTGCCAACGCTGGCGCTGGCAAACCCATACACCCGATGGCGAATCTCATTCAGCACGTCCACTATGAGCAGCGTGAACTCCTTGGTGTTGAGGAGGGCCAGCTTCTGGCGGCCCTGGTTTCGCGTCGAGCTGAAGCACTGGTAGACGGGGAGGAACGGGAGCAGCAGCTGCTGGTGGGCCTTCTCCAGCTGGGTCTTCTCCTTTCCCTTGCCGTAGTGGCCGGCGACAAAGGCGTTCACCTCGCGGCGGTCAATTTCGTCGTAGATGTCCCGCGTCAGCTCCTGAAATGAGCTCGCACTCAGCGACTGCAGGCTGGCGTGCAGCTCGGCGCGAAAGGCGGCGTTTGCCGCCTTTGGATCCCTCTGCCCCTCAGCTGAGACGTCCGAGGAGTTGAGGCACTCCGGGCGAATGTCCACCACCAGAAAGTGCTCCCCGGCGAGGTGATTGGGCGTCCGACCCAGGCAGAGGTACCGCGTCAGGCTGTCCGTCAGGTCAAACTGGTGCTCAATGAGGCGGTGCACCAGCTCGAGGTGGCCCGCCTCGCGGGCGTAGTCGATGGCGGTCTTGCCGCGGGCGTCCAGCGCGGCGAGGTTGGCGCCGTAGACGAGGAGGAGTTCGATCTGCGAGGATTGGCCCGACTTGGCGGCCATATGCAGTGGGGAGTTGAACTTTTCAGAGTGGATGTAGTTTCTAAAAAGGAAGAGGATTAGGTTTCAGAAAGGGATTCGAAAAGGAAAGTTTCACTGCATTTACGGATTGGCACCGGCGACCAGCAGCCGCAGACTGGTCTTCAGATTGGGCGTCCGCACGCTGGAGTGCAGCTGCTCGCTAAAGTCCGCCTCCGACTCGGCGTCCTCGTCCACAGTTGCTCCCTTGCTCCCTGCGTTTTGACTGTGGTGGTGGTGGTGGGCGGCACCGCCCCCACCGTGGTGGTGATGAGCCTTGTTGACATAGGCAAAGTGGAGGTACTTGGCGCGGATAAAGTCTGATTTGGTGGGGTGAAGGGGGTCGCCTGGTTGGGGCTTCTTCTGCTGCTGATGATTTCGGTGGTGATTGTGGTGGTGATTCGAGGATGAGGAGGATGATAAGGGTGATGAGGAGGAGGAGGAGTTAGGGAAGCCCTTGAGGAGGAGGAGGTGCGGATCGAGGAGGGTGTGCTCCCAGATGGAGTTGGCGCCCGTGCGGTGCAGGTCGACGACCATCTGCAGCTGCGAGGGCCGCCAGTTGGTCGCCTTCAGCGACTTGATCTGGGAGATGAATCCTAGGATAATAATAGTGGAATAGAAAATGCCATTTAGAACTCGCTGAACTTCAAAGAAGATAATGAGGAGGAGGAGGTGGGTACTCAACTGCCTAGACTGCGGTGTATTATGGCACATTGATCACAAACGAGCACGCCGTGGTTGATTGATGCCCAGGTGGGATCTGTGTTGAAGAGGAGAAGGAAAAAAGAAGACACCGGTAAGTATAAAGACAATAGAAGAGGAAAGTGAAGCAACAATCTTAATTAGCTGCTATCTCATATCAAAGAGGAAAGAGGAAAAGACCGACCTGTCTGGCCACAGTCCGCGCAGACGTTGACTTCATTCAAACTGAAGGCCGCCGTCTTGTTGCTTCCACTGCTGTTGTTGCTGTTGTTGCTGTTATTGTTGTTAACGGTGGTGGACATGATGACAAGAGAATACTGGACAGAAGATAATCAGCAGAAGGAAGGAAGGAAGAGGGAAGAGGGAAAGAACAAGGAACACTCTAATAATAACAACGGCACATCACATCACATCATGAAGAAGAGATAGAGAACACATCAAAAGGAGACGACGATGGCGGCGGCGATAAGGTGTTGGCGAAGTGTTTAGTAGTCAAAAGGTGCTCGCAGATATTACGAAGCTGCTGCTGTTGCTGATGCTGCTGAAGACGACTGCTACCATCATCATCACTTCCACCTTCTCTAATGGACATTTTGATGGCGGTGGTGGTGGTGGTGAGCACTTGACAGGCGACCACATTTGCATTCACATCTACTGAATCCAAATATAGTGAGGAGCTGCACAAGGTCTCACTTTAAATGGGAGCTCTCTTGCTCGTTTCTTTCTTCGGTGGACACAATGGCAGGCAGGCAGGCCTGCTGCAGCAAAAAACCGCAGATGAGCCGCCGCCGTTCTTGAGGCCTTTTTCTATCTTCAGCTCAGCTCAGCTCAGCTCAGCTCTCCCTCTCCCCACGCATTGACTACTAATTTGGCAACACCGAAAGGGAAAGAGAAAGCAAGAGAGCTGACACTCCAACACTCGCTGTCGCCGAAGAGCAAAGCCGCCTGAGGAGATGTGAGAAGTGGCGGCGACGGCGGAGAAAGCTCTTCTGTGCGCGCTTGTGTAACACTTGCACACAATCACCACCACCACAAAGTTGAGGATTCTATTTGAACCACGACGCGGTTGCTATTTCGCAGGCCGCCACCGCCGCCGCTGAATGATCTTTGCTGTTGATTCTCAGGTTTTGAAGAGAATTCGGCCAGAATAAAGGAAGTGGTGGATACTTGTTGGTGTTTAATCGGTTTGATGCGATTTGAAGAGTAAAATCAGTCTTCAGAAGTTATCAGTGAAGTTGTTTGGCAGGTGCTGCTGCTGCTGTTGTTGTTATTGTTCATTCTCGTGTGAATCTTGATTGGCACTAGCTGCTGATTAGTTTTTGATGAAACCAGGACCAGGAGAAAGTTGTTTTGCTTTTTCAGTTAGGAACTTTTTTCAGCTGCTTTGATTGTTGTTGGCTTTTAGCAGAAGTCTGTGAGACAGTTTTGACTTGCTTTAACTGGAAAACAGACTAAAAGCAGCTTCTTCAACACTTTGCTCGATTCAAAACAAATCTCCACTGTAAGGGATCCCTCCATTCTGAAGAACAGCTTCCAAAGCCTCATCAGTTATCGTCGGTCGCTCTCACAAACTCGGACTCATCATCAAATGCAGTCTCAGAGTTCTAAAAAACTCAACAAATAACAAAAACAGCACAATTAAAACAGTGGCGCCCTCATCGGAATAAAAACAGCAGCAGGCGAAAAACAGCACGCTTCACCAGCGTTTGTCACTCGAAGAAGCTCGGCTCACACTTGTGAGTCACAGAGTTTTGTACACCAGCGAAAACATCCGAGGAGCTGAAAGAGTGGTGCAATATCATCACCACAATCCTCATCACCCACACAACCGAGTACACCGAAATCCTACTATAGGAACTTGATCAAGAATATCGACCACTAGTTACTACTAATCAACCGAACCTCCCAATCATGGACGTCACCAAGAGCAACTTCGAAAAGGCGGTCACCGCCATTGAGGCCGTCCTCCCCGCCGCCGACTTCGTCTCCGTCGACCTCGAGTTCACCGGCCTCAGCACCACCATCACCAACGACTACCTGGACACCTACGAGCAGGTGTACGCGAAGAGCCGCGCCAATGTGGTCCAGTTTCAGATCATCCAAATTGGCCTGTCGATCTTCAAGGCGGTGAAGAAGGAAGTAGGCGCGGCAGAAGAAGAGGAGGACCGGCTGAAGAGGTGCGAAGAGTTCGACTGCCACTCCTTCAACTTCTACATCTTCCCGCGACCGTGTCGGGCGCTGGAGCGCCAGGAGAAGGAGCGCTTCTTCCTCTCGCAGGCCTCCTCGCTCGCTTTCCTGGCCGAGCACGGCTTCGACTTTAACCGCCTCATAGCGGAGGGCGTCAGCTACCTGAACCTCGCCCAGGCGAAGGCGGTCAAGGAGCGCCTGAGGAGTGAGGAGAAGAAGGGCGGCGGGGGCGTTCCCGGGGCGGCCAGCACACGCACCGACCGCGTCACCATCACCCGAGAGGAGGACAAGGAGTTCGTGGCGGAGGTGATGCGCCAGATTGCCGAGTTTGCCGCCGACAGTGCGCGGACAGAGCTGGGTAAGTGCTCAGTTTCTACTTTTGGTTTCTATTTTGCCATACCTAATTCATCTACCTACTTCCTAGCCCTCCCCCTGGCCAATCCCTTTCGCCGGCGGCTAATGTACGAGGCGCTCGCCGACTCGCCCTTCGCCGACTCCATCGAACTGGCGAACATCAGCGCCGATCGCATGAAGCTAACTGCTTTGCGCAGCTCCCCGGAACTGAAAGCGGAACGGGAGCGCCGCGACGAGCTCGACATGGTCGGCTTCAGCGAGGTAGTGCGCCTGTTGATGAAGCACCAGAAACCGCTCGTTGGCCACAACATCTACCTCGACCTGCTCTTCCTCTACAACACCTTCCTCGAGCCGCTGCCGGAGAGCTACGCCGACTTCAAGATCTTCCTCCACTCGATCTTCCCCACCGTCTACGATACGCGCTTCCTCTCGGCGCACAACATCATCGGAGCGCTGGTGGGCGCCAATTGTATGCAAAAGCTTTTGTTTTGGTGCTGTTTCTAAATTGCGTCATTTCTAAATCTCTTTCCTCTTCTAGCGCTGGGCAACCTCTACGCCGCCGTCCTCAAGTCGCCCTTCCTCCCCACCACCATCCACCTCAGGAACGACCAGGGCGAGGCCACCAAGCGGAACCAGCACGAGGCCGGCTACGACTCCTACATCACCGGCGTCGCCTTCATCAACATCGTCCGCTACCTGTGCGCCCAAGAGCTTCAGCAGTCCCACATTCCCGAAAATCTCTTCGACCCGGCCAACCCGCTCACCGCGCCCTACCGCAACCGCGTGGGCATCTTTCGGACGCTCGGCCTCCGCTGCATGAACCTCGA